AACACAGAGCCCCCCCCCCCCCCCCCCACCTCTTTCCTATCTGAGTCCCCTCTTTTCACATCAGAGTTCCTCCTTTACTTCAGAGCGCCCTTACCATATCAGATAATTGCAGAAACGTCACCAGCACACCAAATCCTTATAGGATCAAAGTTCGTAGATTTTATTGCAAACTCATGTCAGTTACACAAGCGCTTTCGGGGCCACACAGGGTCCCTTCATCAGGCATAGCAATCAGAGTCCCCTCTTTTTGGTCACAGGAGTACATTAATAAATGTACTCTGTGAGCCAAAGTCAGCATATAGCGGGCTCCTGGCCACTATATGCTAACAGCGCAGAGCTGTGCTGCAGCCAGGAATAATGTTGTATTGCCTAATTGACAGCTGGTTTTGCCCTCTAGAGCCAGAGCCAGCTGTTCCCACCCCTGTATCTGTCTGTCCCTCCAATGAGCGCTGGAGGAGCAAAGAGGGGGGAGGGGAGAATCCCTGTGGGAAGTGGTAACTAACAGTTACCGCTCTCTGCAAGGAGAAGCTGTGAGCTGAACGATCAGCGGTTTGTGATTCCCTCCGTTCTTGAGCTATAGAGTCTGCAGTGTCACGCTCAAACTATTAGGAAGAGTTCATTTTTACATACTATTTACATACTCTTCCTAGAGTTACCCTTTAAAAAAAGAAATATACAATTATCATAAGTGAATGTGTATGCTCTGATCCGGGGGGTAAGTATTTTCTGTACAGCTGTGTTCCTGTAAGCAGTGCCATTTAAGGACACTGTGGTCAGCCTGTCCTCACCCTAAATCACCCATAATTCCAGTAGTATTCTCTCAGCTATACAGCAAATTATCACAATCAATCTGATATATCCAAAGTAGCTTGTGCATATGGGAATTGTAACTTTCTGCACATAAAAGCTCATCTATATAAACTATTAAATGTTTGGGTTTTCTATGACTATTGCTGTAGGGAGATTTGTGGTTTTCACATGAAGGGTGATTTAGCAGTTTCCTGTCTAGTAGCTGAGGATCTTTAACAGAGCTATATTCGACTGTACAGAGACAGTGGGCTGAGGACATGTCTCACATTCACAGTGATAGCCCTCTTTTATCTCTTGCCCAGGCTGAAATTACATTTTCTTGTTGTCTGTGTCATAACAATGTCTAAACTAGGCATGGTTGTAGATTTAAATGTTTTAGAAAGCTCTGCAGTGCTGTACAAAGAAGTGGGACATAATTGGCAGCAACTGTTCATCTCATAAAAAGTTCATCATAAATAACTGAAAACACTATGCTTCATTGACAAAGAGACTGTTTGCTGCTTTGTTCAATTCACAGATAAAATGTATTGTGCTTTTATTTATCATTACCAGTTTGGCTGTGTTTTGTCCTCCCAACACTGTGTCCAAGCCATTTACTCTTTCTACCTTTGCAGTAGGTAATGCTGCCAGTCTTGAGCAGGGGTGGACAAGCATGCAGGCACAACAGTCACTCAAAGTGTCCACATACAACAGATCTAACACTACTAAAGTCCTGAAGAAGGGGGAGCTCAAACCCCTGAAACCCGTTGGCTGTGTTTTGCATCATACACTGATAAATTGATCTGTGTGGGTGTGCTGGTTAAAATGTATGCATAGCCAAAGTTTTAGTTTTGGTTAGATTGGTAGAAGGTGAAAACCCCTGTAAGTTTATTTTTACTCTGTGCCCAAAGGGGAGATTTCTCTTTATTTCTCATTATAGAGATACATCAGGAAGTGAGAGAACATGTCCTCTTAGCCAGTTATCATCAGAACCTTCACTGTAATATTTTGTATTTCCTCATCACATTCTACCTGGTCACCATGACATGTTTTGCCCCGAAACTCTGGAATTCTCTTCCCAAGAACACGAGAGAGTCTCCTTCTTTAAGCTTTTTTTCCAATAAAAAATGAAAACGTTATCCTTTAGACAAGTCACTACTCAACAGTTCCTTTTTTCTGTTTATCTTGGGTATAATTTTTTTTGTTTGTTTCTTTTGTAAAGTGAATTGATAAGGTACACTTGAATGCACTGTATAAAATAAAGTTTATTGTTGTTAATATTAGGATGAATCTCCCCACAGAGACACACACTGCAATAAAAACCTGACAGTGGTTCTTTGTCACTTTGTTAATACCAAAAAATAAAGGTTTGGCTATACTGCATATAAACTTAAGGGTTGATTTATAAATCTTCCCCCCAGCCATACGCTGGGAAAATGCCCATTCGCATGGAATTCCAAATAATAGATGGACATGAGAAGCACAGGACATTGTTTATGCTCTTGGCTCAATTTAGTGGCAGAAATGCCATGCGATTGGCATTCGCCCAGCATATGGCTGGTGGTAAGATTAATAAATAAGCCCCTTAGTCATTTATATGCACCATTGGTCATTGAAATGAGCCTACGATTATTTCTAGCACTCATTTTACATAAGTACTTTCTCTACCAAGGTTCATGCATACTTTAAGATATTAAATATAAATATTACGGATGCTAAACCCCCGAAGAACAATACTACTAATAGTGGATTTCATGAAAGACAACAGACTGCAGATCATGTGAGGCTTTTGTTTTGTTACTTTTTCATTGTGCAACTCCGATCTGTTTTGACCCATTTTTTCTGGATGAGAACATATTCCTGGAATGAGGAAAAGGACACAACTTCTAGGCTCTGTATATTTCGCTGAATTGCTGTCTTGGCAAAGTAATGCACCCGGCACAGTTGTTTTCAATTAGGAGAACACTGCGTTGTTTGATAGTTGCAAAACATTACTGCTTACTCTCTGCAGAAAAACACCAGGATCAAATTTAACCTCATCGTGTTTGTGGTCTTACATGGCGACTATTATCTTTTGTCTCTGCAGCTTTTTCCTTGGAAGGCTCTGGTATCAGCTTTGCAGATCTCTTCAGACTTGTTGCGTTCTACTGCATTAGCAGGTAAGATGTGTGTTTCTGGTACTGTAACAGCATGACAGTTTGGAAGGGAATATAATATTGCAATAAACATTTCTACATGCTTTGCTAAAACATTACTAGTTATGTTTCATTTAAAGGGTCAGTCCATGAAAAAGTGATGTCTCATTTGTAGATGGGGTCTGGTGTGGTACCATCCGGTAATAGGTTATGCTTGCTGGATACCCAACATAGAATCGGGTTTGGGGGAATTTTACTGTACTTCAGTTATCTGTGCTTCAGTACTGCTGTGGCCTGGTTTAGGTCTGTGATGAAGGGTATAAAGAGGGAAGCATGCCTTGTGTGGGCCAGCCGGTCATAATGGGACAGCTATTTTTATTTCTTGCAGAGCTATGGATGCAGGGAATCTGTATTTTTCAGCCTGGGCTGGTACTGAGTGATTCCCTCAGTCACAGATTAGGGGACATTTGTAGAGGTATTAGTCAGCCCACCGTGACCCACCAAGTGCATGCATACTTCCCAGGTCTGCATAAGTTGTTCCATTAACACTGGTTGGCATATACATGATATGCTTCCTTGGATTGCTCTCTATAATCTTAATGCCATCATATCCTAACACTGTCCAGCATAAACATAACATCCTTACATGGCTCTCTAAAATCCTAGGAGGCACATACATAAAGTAGTCTTCTCTGTGTGTCTCTGCATTATCTGGGCACTTTCCTATCCTGTCATAGTACTGCCTGGCATATACAGTATATTATATTCTTCTCTGCATGATCTAGAAACTATTCGGGTTTTATCCAGACAGTGATATACAATATATATATATATATATTGGGCTTCACTAAGTGTTTCTGCATTCAACTGGAGCTTTCCTATCCTATACTAATATTTCGGGTATATCACTGTCCCAATCTAGAACTGGCTGGAACATTGATAGAAGGCTCCCCTTATGGTTCTGCATTATCTGGATAATAGCCTATGACTGCTTTGTCAGAAGCCATTTTACTGCCACCTTACTGGTTCTTCTACCCACTTGACCCAAAACTGATTATTTTATGTTTGCTAATGCCCCTTGTTTTCCCCCCTCCCTTTCCCATTTAATTTGCTTCTCTTTCTTTCCTTGAGCCTTTGGCTTAAATCCTCTCTCTGTCTGCCATGTCTGCTCTGTAGAGCCTCATACTGTATACTTCTATTGGGCTCATCTACATCTGTCTCCCAGCCAGAAGACAAGCCCCATAAAGTTCTATTGGGTCTACTGTGCAGGCGGCAGCTAGGAAAGAGAGGATGTCAACAAACATTGAAAGCCTTGAGAGGTAGAGCTGCTTTGGTTAGAGTAAAGAATGCAACACATTCTCTGGCCTTTTCAGAACTGCTCTTTGTTGGGTTATCGGCGCAGGTTTGGTGGGAGGAGCCAAATGCCATTATTCTCCATTAAGGTGTTCCGCTTGCATCACTAAGATCCAAGGCTTAATGCAATAGTGGTAATTGGCTGCCTTTAAACACCATTCACCCTGCAAAGAAGTTTAATGCACTTCATCATTTTGTTATCCAAATCTGTATAATAGGTATATCCATATCCATTTCTGTCCTCCGTGTCTTTATAGCTCAGTGATTTTCCTAGTTCCAGATAAAAAAAGAGAGTGGATACTAAGTAAGCTAAACAGATTGTTTTCCCTCAGTGACTGTAGGTGACAAGTAAAGATTTAGGACAGGCAGCATAAGCAAATCATAGACAGATGGTCGATGGAAATAAACATTTATAAAGCATAAGCACATTCTTTTAGGGAACAATCTGTGAAAACGGGGACTGTCCCTCCACATCAGGATCGGTCTCACTATGCTTCACATTCGTATGAAGAAACTACTCACTTCAGCCGTACATCAGCTGGTTTCGGCCTCCTTCAGTTCAGCCGAACATGCTCAGCATCTTCGGCTGAGCCGAAATTAAGAACACGTTCGACTCACCCGATCCAACATCTGTATCGGCTGAGCCGAACGCCATTCACTTTACCCCGGTAGCGAGCAGAATAACTGAGCGACATTTGGCTCGGTTATTCTGCTCGCTACCTCCGAGGTAGCGAGCAGTATAGAAAAAATGTAATGTAGGTCTGGTAGGAAAGTTAGTAGGGACCCCAAGTTAAAAACTAAAAAAAAAGTGCGTGCGGTTCCCCCAAAAGTCATACAAGGCCATGTAAGTCTGGTATGAATCTGGTATGAACTAATCTGAGCACAGGCCTGGCAGAGTAGGAAAGGGGGCGGGGCGAGCGAGTGCCCCCCTGCACCATACCAAGCCACATGCCCTGGGCATTGGGAGGGTGCCTTTCCAAGGGTCCCCCTGGAAACGCATCTTGTCCCCATGCCGATGAGGACAAGGGCCTCTTCCGCCACAACCTTGACCTGGTGGTTGTGGGGGTCTGTGGGCAGGGGGGCTTATTTGCATCGGGGTACCCCCTTTAACAAAGGGGGCACCCAGATGCTGCCCCCCTTGTGAATGAGTAATGGGTACTTGTACCACTACTCATTCACTAAAAGGTTGAAGTAAAAAGAAAACATCTTTTAATTGGAAAAAAAAGCAAACCAAATGTTGTTTACAAGTCCTGTAATAAAAAAATTAAAATCCCAAAAATTGATCCACCGACATAATCCAAAGTTGACATCACCGCTGACTTCACCTATTTGTTGTCATTGTGCGGCAGCTGTCAAATGGGTCCTTGGCCAAATGAAAACAATTGGCGGAGTTGGCCGTGACCTGGTATGGTGCAAGGGGGGGGGG